ACTGGAAGTACAACAATCCTGGAACAAGAAAACACACTGAACAATTACCTAAAACGACATCATTTGGAAAAGATGAAAACTATAGTAAACCATAACAATAATGACTACAAAAAAAAAAAAAAAAAAGTGTCGGCAAAGGACTTTTTTTTTCTTTTTTTTTTTCTCTTGTCGGCAAACGACTTGATAACTAAAAATAACAACAATGAAAAGACCTATTAAGAAAAAGCAACAATATCTCAACAATTGATATTATAACTAAAGAAAAAGCAACAATATCTCAACAATTGAAATATGAAGCCACGGTAGAGAGGCAAGAACGGGCCGGCCCGTTCTCCTTAGGCCCACGCGGGCCACAGGCCGGGGCGGCCCAGCCAATGAATTTCGTGGGCCGGCCCCTATAAGAATGACTTCTGCCCAGCTCACACTACGGGTCAATTTTACGTGGGCCAAGCTGAGCTATGCCGCGGGCCAAGATGGGCCGTGTCATGAGCCTTAAATGAGCTGACCCACTCAAGGTTCATCTTGACTCATCATGGGTTTAGATGTCCCAGCCCATCTAAGTATGTAATTTTTAATTTTTTAATTTTTAATTTTTAATTTTAATTTTTAAACAAGTTAACAAATATATAAGTTTGAATAGTTAATGGAAATATGAAAAGGGATATTTTATTTACGATTACCTCATTAAATAAAAGCCTTTCTAAGGAAAACCCAGTAGGAGAAAACATTGGTAAGGAAAAAAAGTACAATCAGGATAATTATACATAAGATGTTAACAAAATTACTAAAAAAAGAAAAAAAAAACATGAAAATATTATGGGCCTAGATGGGCTGGGCTGAGCCGACCCATTATGGGCCTAGATAGGCCGAGCTAGGCCGGTCATGGGCCTAGACGGAATGGCCCAACCCGGCCCAAGACCGGTATGGCCCATGATTTTTCATGGGCCGTGTCAGGCCGGCCCATGGGCTGATATATGTTGGCCCAGCCCAGCCCACCAATATTTATGGGTTGGGCCGTGCCTTGAATAGTGACAAGCAGTATCGGCCCGGCCCGTCACTATGTCAGGATGGGCCTGGACCGGCCCACGGGTCTCGGCCCATTGTTGCATCTCTAAGCCATGGCCACTATCTTCCTGCTCAAACATTTTTCATTATTCTCCATGGTTTCCTGAAAGTACTATTAAGCTCCTTTTTTTCACAATTTAAATCACTACTCAAGTTCTTTTATTATAGTGTTTTTCTCATAAAAATTTAAATTCAATTTTTTTGTTACAGTATTTTCTCTCACATAAAAAAATTTGAGTTGTGACTTGAATTGTAAAAAGAGCGCACCCTAAGATGCTTCTAATGAGTACAACTCTTTCTCCGCATGATTCATCTCTATTCAAAATACGTGTCCATGTTCGATACTTTGTCATGGATATACATCAGGAATACATAAAGAAAGGTTCTAAGGCGCTCACGAAAAATATGTTGCAACTGTCAATCTTCAACCTTTAATTGGGGTTCCACCGTTTTGATCCCGTGTGTGTGCCATGTAGGTCCTAAACACATTTCATTTCATATTATTATTTGGTTAACAAATTTCACTTAACATTTAAACAAGAGTACTCCTAGAAGTCCCAGCAGAGATATGTTCCTATTAGACTCAGGAAACGGCCCATATACGGCCCTTCAGCGGGTCTCATGTGGATCGCACTAAATGCAACTCATGCTCCGTTCATTTCACCGATTTGAGTTTAGAATTTGAATTGCTACAGTAAAAAGCTTTTGTTACAATAAAAACACTCACATAATGTCACATCTCAACTTGAATTAAAAACTCGAATCAACGAAATAAACGGGTCATCAATCTTTGCTTCTAATGGAGATAAAAAAAAAGTTTTTTTTTTTTTTTTAACAATAAACCATACAAAAATCAGAAAGATATGATAGTACGAACTTCTATGCGACCAGCAAATTAAGGTACAACCGTCCTAGAACCATGACAATCTTCAAAAGTCAAAGATGATGGTGTCACAATCTAGGTCATTTATATAGGCCAACTCAATTATCAAATTAATTATGGCATTTTAGAAGTGCGCTATTTTCAAATTAATTAAGGGACAAATTAAGAGTACCATTCAACTTCGCAACCCCTCAATTGCAATTTTGGTCTAAAAAGGTTGCGGATTTTGTTCCTCGTAATCACTAATGGATTGGATTCTCCTTGCGTTTCTAGAATCTTTAGATTGAACAATTCTACATATACATTATTGACACACAACACATGCATGTAATAATCAAACCATGCATCTAAAGACATTCATGCACGTACAGCAGCGCCTGTTGGACCATGCGGCTAGATCGTTTAACCATGCATGCAAAAAAGGCAAAATCTAAAATATCTAAAAACAATATGTTATAGGCTAACGTTGTTATTGGTGTTGAACATCTATGAAAGATGGATTCCGCAGTATAAGATTTATAAATAAAATAATTTTTTTATTATTAATAGTGGTGTTTAGCACCGTTAGGTGTGTGAAATTTATGGAAAGCTGACCTCGTTGCCGCGATCTCTACCACTAGTTGTTAGTTGAATAATGGTTGCATGCGTACGAAGCACTGAAACCAGTGCCTTAAATTCTCAACCAAACCGCCTCAGCCAACACCAACACCAGTGTCGATAGCTCTTTGTAATGAATATGTTTCAGTAGGAAGTTCACGTCATGACTACCAAAACTAGAGTGCATTTAATTGTCTAGAGGTCAGAGGAACGTATTTTTTTGAGTAGTAATATGCCCGGTGACGATTTCGGCTACAAATTCAGCACTGTCAAAAGTTGGGTTTCTAGAAAAACGGACTAAAAAAACTACAAAATATGGCCAATATTGTAATTTTCTTCTTCTTTGAAAATACAGGTTGTTATTATAAGCAAATATCATATTATATAACGATAATTCTATAAGATAGTGAAATACCTTCAATCAAATTAGCTCATTATTTGTATTTATTGTATAAGTAACTAAAAAATGAACAGGCTAATTATCAGTTTCCTGAATTCATAAGTTGCTGAAAAAGGAAGACACATACGATAATAACACTCCAAACTCATTATAAAAAAAAGTTCTTATTAACTTAAATAATTATCAATGCATCAAATTCTGGATCCGTTTAGTTCGTTGGTTCGAGTTTTTAATTCGAGTTGAGATGTGACTTTATGTGAGAGCTTTTTACTATAGTAAGATGTGATTATTTCTGAGAGTTTTTTACTGTAGTAAAACTCAAATTCTAAAATCGAATCAGTGAAATGAACGGGGTCAGAACGTGCTGGAAATTTAGACTAATAAAGTCTATATATCTTTGAAGATGATGCAACCATCACAAAACTTGAGATAATAATTGTAAATAAATATGAGAAAATTCGTTCTACTAATCTTATACTATACAGGATACACAAAAGATTCTAGACATATATAAAGTTGATGTTTCCACTATATATATTATATGTTATTTATTCATAAGTAATAATAATACCTTGCACAAAACTCAATATACATGGTTCCTGATCCTCTATGATGGTATCTAAAAGCAGGATCATGATGGTGCTTGCCATGCCTGTTTATGTTTGTTTTTTTTTAGAAATATTAAAGCATTTAAAAACAAAAACAAACAAGCAGAGAAAAGGAATCACAGCTGAAGGAGTGGTTGTGGACATGATGATAACAATAGGTTGGAGTTGTGTTTAATTTCCCAGCTACATTATATTAGTCTATTTATCATCCGAACGTCATGGGAACTATTTCTAGCAAGTTACAATTTTACAATCAAACAATTGTCGTTTTGGTCAACAGCTATATGATTATGACTCACTATCAGAAAAAAGCTATTATCAGAATTTTAAAAAAGAATAAATAAATAAAGTTTCAAGTTGAATGCTCCTGCTATAAAGAATCCTCACTTCTAGATTTTTTTGACACAGTCCATGCTGAAATATATTTAATTATTAATATCAGGTTTCATAATCATCTTTCACGAAACCATACATTTTGATGGGAGAGCTATATATACACAACAATCGATACCTTGAATTAATCAAGCCTTGTACAATTATCTAGTTTTATTTTTGGAAAAAAAAAAAATTTTCTGCATCAGGACAAGTGTCCTGTGTTATTATTGTAAGAAACGGAAATTTATTTTATTTGTTTGGAAGTGTGTGTCTGATCACAAGGTTTAAAAAATAATAGCAGTTTTTGACCAATTTATTCAAGCACGAAACTCAGAAACTAGTTTGACAAAGTAGTTGAAGTAGGAAGTCCGAAACTCCCATATTTTCTATATTTACAATTCTTGCCCTGTGATCTTTTTTTTTTTTTTTTCCCTCCTCTCCTCTTCACAAACCACATGCAGGAAAATACTTTAAATAACCGCTCTAAGTTAATTTCTACGCCATTTTTTCACTTGTAGGTAGAGCAAACCAAGAATACAAGACTATATTATACATATATGTATATATATATATATATATATATATATATATATATATATTTAT